ACTTAATCATTTCAATGTCAATTAAAATTACCATATCTAAAAATAGTTTCAATAACAGTTTAAAATTAATTAAAAATCAGCAAACTATAAAAATTAATTAAAACCAAAACAATAATAATAATTGACAGGGTAAAATAAATAAACACATAACCATAGCATAATATTGATCACCCAAACCAATAACATAATGCTCAACATTCATGCTTTATGTATCACAAAAACATACTTACCATTCAATACAATATATTACTTTTCTAGACATAAATACGTGATAAATATATAAACACGACATAAATATATTTAGCAAAATGTTAAGTATTAATACTTACAGAATATTCTCATACATATCGGCACTGATATTATCCATAGGAATAACATTAACAGTGTTTTCATTGCAAACTCCATATAAAACTGCTATAATTTTCAAGTGTTTTTGGTGTCTAATTAGTGAAACACATGTACAGTATGTTTGCCAATAAATACACAGGAATAAATGTTATGTATATATTTCTGGATACAATAATTACTATTGTAAACACATATACTAAACAACCATAATATAAATGTAAATCACGTTTATATATTGTGATTGTTTCTTGGTAATTAATCATTTTTGTTTGATTAACTCAAATAATAAAATATGACTAAATTTTGAATAATTAATTAAATTTAATAAATAAATGTGTGCTATTATTTAAATTACTAAACATGTAACATTATTGCTTAAGGGAAACTATTTTTAATAAAAATTATAAAATAAAATCATTAATAATAATTTTTATACAATAATTATTATTACATAATATATAGATGTAATAAATTTAAAAGTATTCCTAATTATAATTACAAATACTTTATAATAATTATTCGAAAAATAGTTATAATTAAAATATGATTTTCATTGAAAACAGGTTTGAAAACTAAATCTAAGCACATGCTAATTTTATTTACAATATAATTATATAAATAACATACTTAAATAAATTGATTATTTTAATAAATTAAAATAGAGATTTAATTAATTTAGGTAACTATTTGCTAAATAGATTAAAATTAACTTCATATATGTTTTTAATTTTAAAGTTTAAAGGTAATAACAAGGCAAAGTATTGGAAATGTATATAATTTTAAATCTAACCAGAACAATTTTCAAAAATCATATTACTAAAACCATCTGACATGACAATCAAATTTAAACAGATACAAACAAGCACGTAGCTAGCTAAATTACTGTAAAAATCAACATCATGCAACAAACAACACACTAAATCAAACCTGTGCACATCAAAAATAAATGTCAAAGCAACCAATATAAAACATCCACATAACCAAGTACATAAATACTGTATAAGATAAAACTAACCTAACACTTTATTACAAACAACTCCACCGTCATGTCTTGGTTTGGCGAACGTACAAAACGATCATGGTTAGAGCGAGTGGGCATAAACGTAGTCAAATGCGGGCCAATCCCGGCACACATCGCCTTTATAATGGACGGCAACCGGCGGTACGCCAAACGGTCCAACTCGCCGGCCATCGAGGGCCACAAAATGGGGTTCAATCGGTTGGCCCGCACTCTGGACTGGTGTCTGGATTTGGGCGTACGTGAGGTGACTGTATTCGCCTTCGCTGTGGACAACTTCCGTCGGCCGGCCGGCGAAGTGGACGGACTCATGGATTTTGCCGGTGAGATATGCAAACGCCTGTTGGCCCGCAGGGACCGACTGAACGAGACGGGTAAGTGTGTGCGAGTGTTGGGCGATTTGACCATGTTGCGACCGGATATACAGCGCCAGGCGGCCGATATAGTGCTCGCCACGCGTGGTAATGGTGGCCAACACTCGCTCAACATATGTTTTGCCTACTCGTCCCGGCGGGAGATCGCCGCAGCCCTCGGAGACCTACAGCGCTGTGTCCGCCGGGGTGTCATAGATGTGGCCGATATTGATAGCCGACTCATAGCCCAGTGTCTGTACGCGCCCGAGTGCTCGGCACCCGACATATTGGTCCGCACGTCGGGTGAACACCGGTTGAGTGATTTCCTACTCTGGCAGACGAGTCACGCGGTGATTGAGTACGTGCCGGTGCTGTGGCCTGAGTTCACTCTATGGCATTTGTTGGCCGCAGTGCTGGCCTATCAGCGCAACTGTTGGTCGACTGTCGGCGCCCGACAGGCGATTGAAGGCGTGGATGATGTGGTCGACTGCGAGCACCGGGAGGTTAGACAACAACGTGTGGATAATTGTTTGCAATATATACATAATAAACGTGTGGATCAGTTAAAGTGTATGGCAGGCGGTGGCGATACCGGGGAAGTCGATCGCGTAGTACATTAGTCATATTAGTGATAATATTTATAGATTTAAAATACCTATATAAAATTATTTATAGTAATGTTTTTATGTATTGATTTACTTTTAAACTTTATTTATAAAACGGTAAATGAATGATGGTTTAAAAGGGGAGACGGGGACAACATTCTTTATATATGAATTGTGGTTAAAAATATACTACAATTAATATTTTTATTAATATAGAGTATTTAAGACTACTTTTGTGATCTAGTGTTTGATGTATTGTGTTTTATATAACTATGACAACGATTATAGTCAACATATAGTATCATGATGTACAAGGTCAGTTGCATAAAGTTATTTAAAGATTAATGCAATTTTGTGTTGCAATTTGTTGCAAATATATGCAATAATATAGTGTTTTGAAAGAAAATATATATGACAACTATTTTATTTGTCAAATTGTATCCATAAGGCGTAATATACATTTACATCTAGGTGACTTTAATATTTTATAACTATAATAGATTTAAATATCACAATACTTAAAATTGTTTATCTTACGTTTTTGTTAACATAAAAATGTTACAAATGTTTATAAATACATTAAAGCGAGTATTAATTATATTCACTGAAAGCATTCACCGATTGATTTCCAAACAACTAATAAAATATACAATTCTATCGTTATTTGTGTATCAATTATGTGACGAAACCGTCAATTATTTACGGTATAAAGTGATCAACGACTTAGTGATCGACCAAAACGACCGGTCATTGCTTTTCAAGCCATCGATTACTATATGTTTTGACAGCAAATACTTTGATAATGAAAACATAACTTTACACCAATTGATAGCAAAGAATATGATTGAATGCCGGCTAAAAAGCCCATTTGGAAAGTACAACCAATGCAAACAACTGTTCCCGGCATACGTCCGATACCGACCCGACACAAGTGTATGCGTCACTCAATTATACGGTCGGATCAATGAGTCAGCCATTGAAGGGTTAAATGTATATTATGTTGGCCTACATAAATTTGACCACGCTCAATTTGCAATAACCAATCACAATGAATTGTCTTACTTTACCAAGATTTACATTATTAATGAATATAAAAATCATTACATGATTAATATCGACGCTAAACTGCAGACATTATTGCCCCGACCCTATCGTACGGCGTGTTATGATTACGGGTCTAATGATAAACGAGATGACAGATCGGCGCCCGAATCGCGCACTAAATGTATGGTTAAAATGATGGCACGGATGGAGAAGAAAGTGTGCGAACACAACCATTACTGGAGTTACCATTTGGTAACAAATACTAGTCGTCACACTTTGAGAGGTATTAACGGAACCAATTGTATTGTTCGGCCCGACATTCGACACCTACACAGGAAATGTCCCATTGATTGTCGCACTTATAACGTGGACATCGGCGGCAAAGCAACACATTTCAAAATTACAGATTATATGTATATCACTTCCCACTATAATATACAGTTAAGTATGAATTGGAAACTGAGTCCCAAAATGACTGCAATCGCATACCTGTCCTCAATCGGCGGTCTAATGGGAATGTATACCGGACTCAGTGTCCACTCAGTTATCGGTCACGTGTTGGCCAATTGTGTGTATTTCTGGCGCCGAATTGTGCGTAAAACCAGATTTAAAACCAATTTTAAAATCAAACGTTATTTAAAATATTTGAATCTAGTTTCATTGGTTGTTTGCGTCGGTTTACTCGCTTCACAACTCATAGGCATGTTGTGCGTCGAGTCCGGCGTTAGCATCGGTATAAGTCAGGACCCAAACATACGTCTGCCCGCACTCGTAGTCATCATAAGACCTGATGAGCAAAACTCTAAAAGATTTGTGTCCACTTTGGCGGCCAATCGGTTGGACGCTTTTCGCCGACACGTCTACGACTATAAACACGCACTCATCGAGTGTTACGTGGAGTACGAGTCCGGCCAACGAGTCGACTGTCCGGCGCCCGAGATCTCATTATCCTTACCCCAAACACATCTAAATATTGTAAACATATTTTTCCGTCGTCTCCCGGACCCAGTGTTTTGGCGACAAATGGACGCAGTTATCAACACAACTACCGGCCAGTCGGCAGCGCCAGTACTACCGGCGCGAGTGTGCATTAAATACCGCAACGATAACGTGTTGTGGTTTAACACAGCACTCACCACAACAAACACACCGACAACAGCTATACCACTAACGGTGGGCTCAGACACACGCGTCGCTTACACAATGCAAGAGCACCGGCGACTGTCCCGCAAGGCTTTCAAATGCTCGCCCGACGAACCCTTCTGGGGTTGGCCTGATTTCAGGGCACCCGTCGTCATCACTCGGGCTCACCAGTCAGTGCCATATGCCGAGTGTTTGGCTCGCAGTTTGTATTCAGTGAACAATTGTTATCCACTTTTCAACACATATAAAGTTACTATCGATGGAGAGGTAGAGAGCGGTCGCCGCCAGTTCTGTAACGGCACCGATAGACGAATAAACGCAACGCTATTCAAACGCTTTTCTAACCGGTGCTACACATCGATACGCAAGCCCTGTCTCAATACACCATTACAGGTCACATCATATACAGCTAGGACAAATTTGTCGTACACCATGGTCAATTTGATACCCAAACACTATATGGAGGCCCACATCACCGAACAGTTGGTTATGGATATCCCGGATATGATATACAACATCGGGGGCGCAATAGGCATGTGGATCGGCATATCTTTGATTTCTTTCGGTGATATTCCCATTGCGTTGTATTTATTGTTAAAATATATTTCGAGACATATTTATAATTATATTCATCGAGAAAATAATTAATGCAAATTATATCAATTTTATTCATTGATATTATCACATATTAATAAAAAGCCTATGTTTTCTAAAAATAAAAAATATTTATTAAAAATAATCATAATTTAATGTTATTATAAATATTGTGACCATTTCAATAAAAGTAATTTATTTTTAAACAATTAAAATTTATTTATTACAGAACAAATGTCATTAAATGCAAATAAGCTTAATATAATTATAAAATGTTTTACAATTGTGGCCGCCATTGGTTTTGACCCTAATGAATGTCGACGGAATAAGGTAAAATCCCATTTGAGGTAATTCTTTAATGTTAGTTGTTATTAGGGTGACCAACTTCCATTTTGGGTAAAGAGGACATTACAAAAAGTTTTAGAGGACATACGGGGAAACATACAATAAAAATTTATAATAAATAGAGGACACAAGTTTTAACATTGGTTTTCATAGTAAATTTTTAAAGTACACTATCCAAATAAAGGACAATCCTCTGTAATAGAGGACGGTTGGTCACCCTACCTCTCGCAGCCAATGTTCAACCCGTTTACGAGTAATCAACAGTTTGTCACCCATAATAAGCTGATCCGCCATCAGATGTCTGTCCACTCAATGGCACCGCCGATGAGGTGTGAAAAGTACGGCAAACGGTTCGTCACTTCAAACTCATTAATTGAACATAAAATCAATAAAAGCATTGATTTCGTAATGATTTGATTTAAAAATAATTGTTTTGTTGAGTTGTTTATGAATTACGTGTTTATTAAATAAAGAGTTTTGTATTATTTTTGTAATACAACTATTTCTTTACAGATATTAAAGAGTTAAATAAATTTAATTACAATTTAATTGTTTTACTATATATACAGTACTTTATATAATTAATACAAGTTTTAAAAATAATATTTTACAGATTATTCTTTTAAATTAAATGTTACATAAAACAAATATAGATGTAATAAGAGAACCCAGACATGTCACCTGGGTGATTCACTAATGTTAACCTACGAGACTGTTTATGCTGGTGATTTTAGTTGTGATTTAATAATTAAACACAAAAAATATATTTTAATTACTTTCCGACGTGTTTGTAATTTAAATGTTGTCTCAATTCCCCTTTCGTAAAAAAGCGTTGATTACAGTTATTATGAATACATTTATGACTTTTTATATTTATATGTCTTTTCATGTGAGATATAAGAATAGAGTTTTGTTTAAATCTTTTGTTACAATTATTAAAATGACAAACAAATGGCTTTTCTTCCGAATGAATGCGTTTGTGTTGTATTAGATTAGGTTTTGAACGAAATTTTTTGCCACAATTTTCTTCATTACATTTGAATTTCCTTTCATTTAAATGAACACAACGTTTGTGTAGAAATAATCGGTCTTTTCTACTAAAACTTTTGTGGCATTCATTGAAATCACAAATATATCTTACATTTGAATGAATTTGATTTTTATGTGCATTTAAATTAGACTTTTGTTTAAAACTACTATTGCAATTAATAAAATCACATTTAAATTTTTTAATATTTAAATGTAATTGTTCATGTTGGCTAACATGTGATACGTTTTCTGATTTGTAGTGACAATTAGGCCAAAAACAATAAAATATTTTTTTAACATCTAAATGTCCAAAACGTTTATGTATTTTTAAATGCCTTTCATATTTAAATATTTGATGACAGTCTTCATAATCACAAACAAATTTTTTATTTGAATGAATAGTACTTTTGTGGCGAATTAATAGAGACTTTAATATAAAACTTTTGTTGCAATTATTAAAATCACATTTAAATGGTTTTATTTTTGAATGAATTAATTGATGTGTAGTTAAATGATCTTTCTTTCGTGTTTTGTATTGACATTTAGGCCAAAAACAATGCATTTCTTTTCCACGATTAAAATGAATGATGTTTTTGTGTTTATTTAAATTGTGTTTACAATCATAAACTTTATCACAATTATCAAAATCACATTTGAATTGTTTAATTTTTAAATGAAATACTTCATGTTGAATTGAATTACTTTTAGACAATGTTTTGTAATTACATTTAGGCCAAAAACAGTGAAAATAATCATCAGATTTAGTAATGATATGACAATTGTTTAGCATTTTATCACTGATTTTACATGAATTGCAATCAATTGTTTGATTGATTGAAAAATAATCATTATTTTCGCATTCAATCGCTTCACACAAAACACTATTATTTGTATTCAAAATACACTGAATTTTGTCTATTATTTCACACAAA